GTTCCTTATGATAACATATAGAGAGGGGACTTATGAGACAGCCATCAGCTTTTGTGAAACCAAGAGAGCTGACATCTGTTTCTAGATGGGTAATTAATTCCAGAGGATTGTGACACATATTTCATATCCTTATGATATGAAATCATTATGATATGAAATAATGAGTCTCTTACAAGTGTCTTCATAGGCATAATAAGCACTTGCTTCCCCTGCAGCTGTGGACACCAGAGAAGTTGCAGCAAGCCTCTGACCAGCAGGGTGCTYTGGTGTTTCTCCGTTCCCATAAAGTATCTCTCTGTGAAAAATGCAATAGAAGTCTGATTTGTCATTGTCTGGTGTTGGTAAAGCCACTGGGCATTCAGTGTCACAGAATCACAGAGAGSTTTGGGTTGGAAGGGAGGGACCCTGGAGAGTGCCTCGTTCCAAGCCCCTGCCATGGGGGCCCCTGCCACTGTCCCAGGTTGCTCAGAGCTGTGTCCAACCTGGCCTTGAACACTTCCAGGGATGGGACATCCATCACTTTTTTGGGCAACCTGTTTCAGTGCCTCACTATCCTTACTGTAAAGAATTTCTTTTTAATATTGAATATAAACCTGCCCTCTTTGAATTTATGTATTAAAGTTGACTTGGGCGTATTTAATTTTCAAAATATACCAATTATTACAACAAGTTATCTTGGGTCAGTATGAGAAGTACTGATTTTTTTTTTCACTTTATTTTGTTTGGTGGGCTTTGTTTGTATGTTTGTTTTAACTGTCAACGCTGACAGCACTTTTATGGATAGGATTTGTAAAATTGATGCTGAGAATTTATACAAGTGTGTTTAATCCTTTTTCAAATTTTCAGTTAAACCAGTCCCATTGGTCAGGTTTCTCTGGGCTCACTTCCTGGGTATTCTGGGCACTGCCACATTTTAGGATTAGCTCTGTGGGGCACTACTGTGTCAGGAGAGTGCTAATAATGAAATGAGTCCTTCACCTGTAATTCCAGATAGCTTGGAGTTTATTCCAGATATGACCAGSAGTAAAATGGTTAATAATACTGATTTTGCAAGTGTTTGGGGCTGTTTTCTTGCAGAAATAGGAAGATCCCACTTTTTTGGCTTGTACTTATGATTTTTTCTTGAATTCTGGTGTTGATGCTGCTACCAGATAATCACTAGCACTGTTGTGATCCCTCTGTAATTCTCGACTTTGTAGCTGGTTCCTAGTGTCCATTTGCTGCCACACATTTAGTCCAGACCTCTTGTGCTATTATGATACTAATTTTAGTCCAGACATTAACTTTTCAGATCATTCCAAAGGAAAGAGAATTGATGTCTTGAATTTCAGAAATCTTCGTGATATTCGGAAAAAAAGAAAAAGTAGAATCATACTGTGTGGGATATTACTGAATTAGAAAAAAAGATCAGGCAGAAGAATGTTGCTGAAATAATGCTCATTTTTAGGTGGAAAAACTTATTAATTCCAGCATCTGCACATTGACAGTCATCAGGGACTTACTGGGCTACRTGTGTTTTTTGAAACATCTGTCAACTAATACGGAGATCTAAATGCAAAGTGTTACATTGGTTATATTTGTGGATTTCTTATATTTCCTAGTGGAATTTCATTTTGTATGCTAATCATTGCAGAGTACAGAAGGAAAAATAAGATTAATTTTGTGTGTGTGTATCAGTTCATTGGACGAATGACTTGTCCCATTCTCTTTTAATTGTGTTGCAACATCAAATATATGAAATGGAGTAGCATCGTTTTTGTCTCAGTTTRCTATCAGTGTGGAAAGGTGCATGTCATGTAGGTGCTTTTTTTTTTTCCTTTTGTCCCAGTAATGGAATAACATGCTGTGAAGGGCCTTAAGCCACTCTGAACAGTTTGATGACACGTCGTTGTTGATTCCTGCAGCCACACTGCAAAACTCTTTTCATTGTTGTGTAAAAAGTGGGCTACAATCCATTTGACAAAATGCTTCAGTGCATAGCACTTAGGTGCACTGTGTGGACTGTCCCAATTCAGTGTTAGTTCAGGGTTAGTGTTACCTGATATTTAGAAATTATATACCAGGAGAGCTAACCTGKGGGCTGTGTAAGTGCAAGACTTTTAATGGTTACCTGATGCACAACATTAACACATTTCTGTGGTACTGCTTTAGGCAAATGTACCATTCCACACTGTTGACCTATATTTGTGATATTTGATGTTTGTGATAAATACTGTCAAGGATAATCCATCACAGGACGAGTTTCCAGAGTTTCAGGATGTTTGTTAAACTCTCATAYAACTCAAATATAGAAGTGTTTCACAAAACAGTATTTTATGTTCGTAAGTTGTGTGACAGGTTTTCCAAATACGAAAATTGCTAGGGAGTCATTTCCAGAAGACTACAGCTGTCTTCAGTTAACAGAGTATGTGCTCCAGATGAGACTGGGATGCAGCTGCCTGTTGACTAAAGACCATATGTTTCTGTAGGTTTTGTTGTTAACTCCCTCCTGTTCACATTTGGGGCAACCACCATTAGAAAAAAAAGCGGAGTAAGCTTAGCAGTGCCTATGGTGTTTAAAGATGTGTATAACTTTCAAATTGAGAGCAGTTGAAATAATTTAGTTATTTAGACCCGTTTGCTGATCTCTTATATGTGCGGTCCCTCAAGACTCGTGTCCTTTTCTCTCTTGTTGTTCAACAGCTCTGTGAAGTCAAGGAGATTTGCTTTGTATGGTTTGATACAGCTAATAAGGCAATCAGAGTGCTGAGGACCTTGTAACAACCCAAAGAACTTAACTTGGCTTAAAAATCTCTGGATAAATGATCTCATTGATGGGGAAGCATTATGAGAGAAGCAAGTTCACTGAAGTGCATTACTTGAGTAATGCTTAMAGCAGCTGTAGTTCATTCACGTGTTTCATATAGTTAAATACAGAGATAAACTGTGCATCCTTCTGTTTAACACTCAATGTAAATTGAATACACAACCAAGTCTTCTGCATGCTTCAGGCATTTCTCTGTGTGCTGCATTATCTCRGCTTCACTCGTGCTTCTCTAGATTTAGACTGAAAGGATAGCGCATAGCAGGGTGGTTTGTGGGACTGCAGCTCGTGTCTGCTGCTGGGCTGCAGGGTCTGTGACACCCCTGTAAGCTGCCTCTCGGAGGAGAGCCTCCATCTGCTTCGTGTCACAGCCCATCACTTGGTAGAGGCAGGCAGAAAAGAGGTTATTGATGTTCAGCAGTATCAGATAGCACAGAGACATCCAACAGAGGAAGCGTGGACAAATTTGTGTGCACATGGTTAGGCAGGATAATGGGTGGATAGGCATGGATACCAGAATAATGACAGCATGTTTTGTACCATATTTTGAGATACCGCCTGCAGGAGATGTAGTGGGGGAGTTGTTGGGGTTTGGGTTTTGTTTGTTCTCATGAATTGTAGCTGTCGGTGCTCCTGCTTAAGCTGAGGTAATTGTTCATATAAGACTTCGCATTCTGGGGTTTTTTTTGGGGACTATTACTGTTTCTAGGTTGAGCGAGAACTTCCTCTCAACTGAAGGGTGTTGACACACGGTGGTCCTAAATATAGTGGGAAGTACTGTTTTGTGAGAGRGAATGGAGGCAGCTCTGGAGTATGGAACCACATGTACAGTCTGGAAGAGTTATGTAAGGACACTGCTGTTTGCAGAGCAGAGGCTTGCTGCTACAATTAGCACTGCTTTACACTCCTTACACTACAGCCATTGTAGCCATGAAAGAATAGCATGGAAATACTATTTTTTTCCCACTAATACCTAACATTTCCAACTCACTCCTTCTGCTCTCCCTGTTTTCCCGCGAGGGATTTTGTATGAGGCGGCAACACAGAAAAATACAAATGAGGATTAGTTGCAGTAAATTTGGGGCAACTTTTTGGCAGCATTCTTAGAGTTTGGATAAGCATGAGGTGTGTGAATGTGTCCACCGATGGGCACGTTTCTGTGCAACAGAGACTTTTTTTCATTGCATCTGATAAAAGTAACACAACTCCGAGGTAAAGTTTGTCCACCCTGTGTTTCTTACACAAGGATGATTGCACATGATAATGCAAACGGTGTCAGATACTTGGAGATTAGCTGCGTCTGTGAATCTACACCTGCAGGTAACACAGGGCAACSATCAAACCGCAGTGGAAATGCAAGAGTAGATTTATTTCATTACCTTGCTAACCATGCTGGGGTCACAGGGACAGGGACATGGCTCCGTTCTAGGTGGCAGCAGGGCAGGGGAGGGCTCCTGCCTCTCCATGACACCAGGCTTTCCCATCTCTGTGAGAGTGCATTATCTCTCCACGGGAATTCTACTTCCCAGAACAGGCAGAGGATGAGCAACATTGGGCATAATTAATGGAGTTTCCCCACGCCAACATTTTTAGCATTCCCAGCTGCAAGGTCACTTTGAGCAAGACTGTGCYCTCCTCTGCCAAATCTTCCGGTTTTAACCCTTTCCTAGCAACACTGTGAAAGGCGTGGTAAATAGATTTAAAAGTGGTAACRTTTATTCATTGTATAATTCCTTTTTTTCACTTCTTGCCCCTCTAAGCATTCACTGGCCCTCACTCTTTTCCTCATYCATCCCATGAACCACTTTAATCCTCATCACTCACTGTTTTCATGCACCTYTCCATTTCCTTCTCCAGTCTTCTCATCCCCTTCCCTTTTCTTCTTCCTGCTCTTCTGCCTTCTCTTTCATTTTTGTTTCCACTTTACTCCTTTTCAAGTCTATTTTTTTCAGTTTTCCAYATCTGTACATGCTCTAATTTCTTCCTTCATTTTACAGTGTTTTCCCTCTGATCTCAMCTCTCATTTTCTGTGCTGATTGTTTGCCTCACACAGCTCCCTTTCTGCTCAGCCTGTCTAGAGGACTGACTTGTTGAAAGGTTCAAAGAGCAAATGGCTTCAATTTCTCAATGGATCTTCATTTAATGATTGTCATGTGCTCTTTTAATTATGTTGTTGTTTTTTTTAATATTATTTCAGGTCTTAAAAATTAGCTTGATTGGCCACCGGAAGCGTGTTCTGGCATCTTTGGGAGACAGGCTTCACGAAGATCCTCCTCAGAAGCCACCTCGGTCAATAACCCTCAGGGTGAGTCCTCATAAAAATTTATTTGCATTTCTTGACGAGTCAGCAAGGGTTTCTTAACATTCACATGAAAACAGTGGCTGCTTTGAGTGGGGTTCAACTTGCCTGACTTCAGAGGAGACAATATGGATATCTTAGGCTGACCTGCTTTGCCACACTTCCCCGTATGGCCAGCGGAGATATATTGACATTTTCACAGGGTGATCCATCTGACCTGGTTCAGATGTCTGCCTTRGGATGAGATAAGTAGTATCTTAGAAGTACCAGCTTATCTTTGCTCAAGAAACTAGCTCAGGACCAGGGATGTAAAAGCTGCACGTCTGCATTTGCCCACAGGAATCCCAGCCCAGCCGATCGATACTGCAGAAGAGTTCCCATTTTCCTTTCATGTTTTCAAATATTTGCACTTACTTTTCAGACATATGCTTGAGGCTTTCTTTAAGGAGAACCTCTTGAAATTTTTAAGGTACAAATGCCATTAAGGTGTCTCTGTATATCAAAAGTTTCATCATGTTTTTAATTTTCATCTGTAGTCCCTCTTTCAGAAACCTTGTTGCCATATCCCTGGGGTTTTAACGCATTTGACCCCATTTAATCTCCTCTCATTACACCTCCTTCACTCGGTTTCTCCAATCCAGTGCCTTTGCTTACTTGCTGTCTGCCAGTCTTATTGAGTTGTGGTCTGATGGCCAATTCCTTCTGCTTCTCTCCAACAGGGTTCATAGCAACATTTTTATTTTGATGTTTTAGGTCACACCTTTTGCATTTGATTGGATCTGATTATTTTTGTGGGGCTGCATTTCTGACGGGAATCTCATTTGGGATTGAATTTCAAAATGTCAGAGTGTCTGTGCTCTCAAGTTAAATTTCCTGGTGTAAAGAGAAATAGAGAAAGACAGAATGAGGGCTTATTTTTAAGTGTACTTAAAATTTTTGTGACYAGCCTGTTTTCACCCTGCTTATTTTCAGATGCCCCACACAGACATTTTAGATCCCACCCCTTAATTCAGCCTATTCCCAATGCCATATTTAAAAAGTTCTGACAGGTCTCAATGTGCTCTAAGGCACATTGCACAAAAGTGAGGATGTTTTTCTTGTATTTTATTTTTTGCATATTTTGTGAATGATTCCTGATGCATGGCAGGTATTAAAACACTCCAAAGAAAGAGAAATAGATGAAAAGGCACACTTTTTTGCTCAATGCTTTCAAAAGTCCGGACTGGATAATTAATTCTTCTTCAGCAAGTGGGAAAGTTTCCGCAGTCCACATTCTTGGTCAGGGCTGTATATCCTCAGTTAATACGGAAGAGAAAGCTGGATGTCCTCCATCTGTAGTCAAAATGATGAAAAGTAGTCTGCTGCTGCACAGCTAGAGCCACTGATGCGGGCCAGTGCTAAATGTCATTTATCACCTCTTGGAAATGGAATCTTCACAGARAATCCTAAAGAGGAGGACATACATTTGGAATAAAATTTTTCTTTCCCATCAACTGCTACTATGCCATTCCCCAYGAAACAAAGACAGTGTTCCCTTTGTAGTCTGCAATAATTTGTAGCTTTAAAYTTCGCTTAAATAAACTGTCTGCTGTTGTTATAAGATTGATTTATGTAGAATGATAGAATAGTTTTGGATTGGTTTGACCTTAGAGATCATCAAGTTTCAACCCTCTTTACCATGGACACAAGCACTTTCCACTAGATCAGGCTGCTCTACATTGGTAAAAAAGGTAGTTGGTTWTTTAAAGTCTACTTTTAAGTTCCCAAGCTCAAGATAAGCAATGCTAATGCTTCATCTTTTTTGACTGTTTTTGTATRAGCTTTTAAAATATTTCAAAGGAAAAGGTTAAATATTGAAGAGCAGCAAAAACCCTTTTAAATCCTTAAAATATCCACAASGTATGTTATTCCCTGTTGTGTATGTACTGAGAAAACATTATTTTTATTTCAAATATGCTCAAGTATACTATCTTCAAATATATATATACTATATATATTGCAAACATATAAACACTCTATAGATTCAAATATATACATACACCATATATAAATATAATTTTCTATACCCAAAAACATAGAAATTGTTGGATCTCAGGTTATCTATGCAATCTTGCTTGCTTTCCKTGAGTGCATGATAATCTTTAATTACACCACCAGTTTCCTTGTTCTTCATGGGACCCCTTCCTTCACCTTCAGCTGGCATTGGAGGCTGGAATTTAAACTAARGGACCAACAATTTAGGCAGAAAATTTGAAGAAGTGTTGCAGTAGTAATGATAATTTAACTCAAGAATTATTTCACTGGTGAGAACTCCTGGGTTTAGGTGAGACAAACATCTATGGGACATGAAGTGTGCCCAGGCAGCTTGGGRAAGGACCTCTTAAGCTCCCTTCCAGCTCTGACCTTTGTGGTTCCAGGTGTACACGAGCAGCAGGTCTGAGAGGGAATAAGGCAGATCTTGACAGTGAAATAGGTGATCAGGCATCCCTGCAGGTCTTGTGTTCTTGCATTCACAACATGATGTGAGAACCTGTGACTGACAACAGCGTGGTACTGGGGCCATGGCAGCACCTGCAAGGGTGTCCATGCCTGRTCTGCAGGTTTGTTTTAGGAGATGWGAAGGTGAGTGTGGAGTGAGGAAGAGGGTTGAAGAGTGGGAGAGAGGCTTGTGATTAAAGGAATAGCTGTACCTTTGGAAATTTACAGAACCAATTCACACCTGGTTTTGCCACAAAAAACGTGGATAATGCATGGTATTTAGTTAATTGCCTCATAAACAGTCACTAATTGCATGTTACTGACAATCTCCATATTTGACTGGAGTCTTGAGTCAGATTTATACAAGTGCTGCGCACACAGTGCTGGCAATTAGATCAACGGAAGTGGAGGTTGGAACTCAAGCACTTGGRAAATCGAGCAATAGATGCTGTAATTGAGTGACTGGTGCTTTCCAACCTTTGTCTGTGTGTCTCAGGTCACCCACACTAAAGCAGTGATTATAAAATGCCACAAGTCACAGGGTGTGGTGAAAATTAATTGATTGACATTTGTAAAGCACTCGAGAGCATCATGAATACGACAATATTAATCATCCCATCATCAGAGCGGGATTTGAAAAAAGTGTAGGAAAGGTTTGGGGCCATGAAATGAGGCGAGAATAAAACACTGACTACACGGTAACTAATGATAACGTGGTGCTGAGTATATGACAACGCTGCACAGTTGAGGATCCATCTGTGCTGTGAAGGATAACTCTGAGAAAATAGCATAAAATCATACAATGACATACTGTTCCATAATACAGAGGCATGGTAATTCTTCTATTTCCTGAGTTGGTATTTCTTGTCTGTATTGCCTTGCCAGCAATCTTCCAATATAGATCTCGGGGTAAATTTTCTTTTTATATGCAGTTTGATAAAATATGAAAGGCTCAATGAGGGCTGGAATCTGTATGTTCAGCTGTCACTTTGATGCACTGGTGGCCCTATCAGCCTTCAACAGTGGGTGAATCCTGACTTAGAGCAGAGAGGTTACCCACCTGGCTGGAGCAGCAGGTAGCGGTCACTGGAGGGGATCTTGTTTGGTGCCCCTGTACCCAGGTTATTTTCAGGGCAGAGGTGTGTGCAACATATTGTTAGGCCCAGGGATGGTAGGTTTTAAAGATTATGCCTCACCAAACCTTCTGAGCATGTGCAGACTACAGCTTTTCTGAAGATTTTAACTGGGCCAAATGTAGGTGGATTTTTGTGAAGGAGGGAAAAGATGATTCCTAAGAGGAAAACACTCTTTTCTTTGCCCTGGGAGATGTCAAGTGCTTGTCTCAGATCATAGGAAAACTAGAGAATTAAAAAAAAAAATCCCAGTTAATTAAACATTACTAAAGAGCTATATTTTCCTAACATTTTTCTTGTTGGCAACGTCAAAAAATACTAATCCATTACTGTGATTGCAGGGAATAATGTCACATAGATTCCTACATGTCAAATATTGTCATCAGATGTTRCTGTGACTTGAACTTTCTATTTGGAAGAGATTACAACTCTCTGATTTCTTAGACCAGATCTAGTTTCTTAACAGCATGGAGTAAAGTGCCTTGATGCTTTTCAGAGCTGGGCTTGCTTCAGTGTAATCACACATGAATCATCCACTTTCTCTCTTTAAATAAAAAGGCAGAACTTCTTTCCTTCCATTCTGGAGCAGGTCTTTGCTTCCTCCTCTATCTTCAGRTCCTTTCTTGTTGCTCAGTATGGAAATGGAGCATTGCAGCAGGAGGTGGTTTAGAGAAGGTCTGCCCTTGTGAACGTGCTCCTGGGGACGCTCTGCCCAGCACTACATCACAAGAGAGGAACATGTTCCCCTTCAGTCACCAGGACAGGGTTTTCCTGCTCGCAGTGGGCAGTGCTTGTGCAGGCTGGACACCACAGTGCAGCTCCTRCTCCTGCTGATGGAGCTCCAAGAGAACGTTGGATGATGGACCTGTAGTGTTTGTAGCTGGTGTCTGAGCGAGTGATGTGACAGGCATGGGAGTAGGTGTTCTCAAACGTACACATGGTGTCTGGCTGTGGGCGGTGTGGTGGCGGATCCTGCTAAAACGTGKACTAGAAGGACCTGTTTATTTATTAGGTGGAGTTTATGTATCAATTCAATGTGGTATTTGCACACTGACTGGAACAAGGTTAACAGTTCAGTACAGGTAACAAGAAAAGCCAGGTAAAATATTTGTACTCTGATGCTTTCATGCTTTCCAGGAATTGCTATTTAGCCTGTGTCTGATATCTGGTACTTCAAGTTAAAATGGATGTTCTTTAAAACCTATAAAAATTGCAACAAAATGTCTATRCTGTGTAAATGGACAGGCATTTTTTTTCCAGCAAGAGATGTTGCTAGTGTTCAAATCACTTTCAAATCACTTTCACTGCTCAGAGCAGCTGCTCAGAAGTGGTGAGAATGTATTTCATCTTACAAATAGGTAGTCCTAAATCATGGCTTTATTTGGGCCTTGACAAGAAGTAGCTCACTGTTTTATCTCTAGAAGAGAGTGTATATTACACAGGGAGGTTTTGGAGAGGAAATTTGCCACAATTTGTGTAAACAGTGAACTACTTTTCCTTCCGCACGGGCTCTGCACTTCAGGTAGCAAATCTTGAAAGCTCATCCACAGTAACCTCTGCTGCAGGAATTATTCCATAATTTTTTTTTTTTTTTTAGTGTGAGCCATTCAAATGCACTTTTAAATGTATGATTTAAAGTCAGCAATATGCTCTTCTTCTTACGCTGCATTTTTCTTTCTCTGTCCAGGAACCCAGTGGTAACCACACTCCTCCTCAGTTATCTCCATCACTTAGCCAAAGCACTTTCACTACTGGTGGCTCCCTGGACGTTCCCCACATTATCATGCAGGGCGATGCAAGGAGAAGAAGAAATGAAAACTATTTTGATGATATCCCCCGGTCAAAGCTGGAGAGGCAGATGGCACAGGTAGGACTCAAACAGCGCCGTTAAAAGGCTGGGCCTTGCTGCTTTTGGTTACAGAACCGATCCTGACCAGAGCAGTGGGCTGTGTATGAAGGCTGAGTTGTAAACAACAAAGGCTGACAATTTTTCCAATCTGTCTGTTCCAGCTCTCTGTATTTCAAATAGTGTAAATTGTGTGTTGGTGTGTAATTTCTCCAGAGAGGTAGAGTTGTGGGGGTGTTTGGATGCCTGGAGACTGAGATGAAGGTGGTTTCTGTGCCAGAGTGTGCAGTCGTCCCCCAGCAGCAACTCTGCCTTTTGTTTTTGTAATAAGGTGCAGAATCCTCAAATTCRAGCTCTTCAGAAATAAATTGGCATCGGTTCATTGCCAGAAACTCAGAGGACTTGAATGGTGATGATTGCTGCATTTATTAATGGGAAAGGTCAGCATTCTGCAAAACTGTGATCTGGGGATATATCTTGATTATATATAAAAAAAGATTTAACTGTGCAAAAAGTCATTTGAACAGCACTAGACTCAACTGGATGTTAAATCCAACTATTCAAGAAAAAAAAGCCCAAAGTGGCCTCCATCTCTAAATTGTTTTCACCCAATCACTGAAAGAGTACTGATAATTTTAAACTAGGCATRCTTTGAGCAGAGTGATGCCGCAGAATCACAGAACCATGTAGGATGGAAAAGACCCTTAAGGTCATCAACTCCAACCCTTAACTCAGCACTGCCATGTTCACCACTGAACCGTGTCCCAAGGGGCCACYCCTACATGATTCTTTAGGATTTCCAGGGGTGGTGATGGAACCACTTCCCTGGAAAGCTCACTCCAATGCCTGACCACCCTCTGAAGAAATTTTTCAGTCCAAAGAGCAGTAAATTATGCATGGACAGCCTGTGAGTGGAAATGCCTTCGAATGAGCTCAACTGGTTTTGGGTGATACCTCTGATGATGAAACACAGCCAGGTCTAAGCTGCATGCAGGGAACAGGACTTTGATTTGCCGTCAGAAGCAGATGGACAGCCAGGGCAGTTCCTGGAGCGACTCATTCCACGAAGGAGCAGGTTGCTGCATGCTTCCCTGCATGAGGCTTCCCAGCAGTGTTTCTGCCTGCCACAGCCCAAAATAGAGTCTCTGTCCAAAATTCAGCCTCAAAATGGAAACAGCTATGCAAATAACTGTATTATAATGAACAAAAGGCTGCAGTCTGTCAGCTAATTACATGAACAAGAAGTAATTAAATAAACAAACAAAACAAGGTGCTGCCATTACCTGGGAACACAGAAACAAATTGAATTCCGTTTGTTCAGAGGACATTTCTAGGAAAGTGAAATTGCGTTTGGTTGGGTGGGGCTCTTGCCTTGCCCTTTTTTAATCTAATTTTCTGCTATATAATCTTCTCGTACAGAATTAAGGAGAAAGTTGCAGAGTGAACGAGCTTGTTTTCAAACCAGTCTGCTGGGCTTCTGTGGCAAGAATAAGGCTGAAGTCCAACAAGGAAAAGACAAGTTCTTAACATGAAAATACTTCTTGAAGGTCATGAAATTTAGGTGTTTGAGCATAAATTGCACACTTGCTCATGGCTGAGTAGACTGGTGTGTCTGATTAGATCATTTTATCACTTCATTCACAAATCCTGATACTTTCTACTTCTTTTAAAGACAGAAAATAAAACAAACCGAAACAACAAAAAAAATCCCTATGCTAACAATTCTTTCTGACTCCTTTTTGCTCTTTTACCGATTGAAGTCCTGATATTCCCAAGAGGTATGACATACTCTCATATATGATACCTGGAGATTTTCTTTGTGCTGTTGAATACTGCATTTACAGAAGGGCTGTAATATTTTGCATGTCTGGAGAGAAAACTGAGCAGTTATTACTTATACCACTCCAGAATCTTTGAAACCAATTAAGTGCTTAAGGGATTTTTTTTTTCTTTTATTTTTTCTTTTTTTTTCTTCTGTGGGAATGTGTACCCACTGAATGGATGACTTCAGTGCCTTCTCTCTAACTTAAACCATGGAATATAGCAGTTATCCTTTGCAACTCCAAAGGGGAAAATGGATTCAGATGAAATCCATAAAGCAGTGGTTTGTGTTGTTCCCTGAACTCCAATCTGTTTGAAGTTTTTTCAGCTCTGCCCCCAAATTCTGCATTCCTGATGTATGTAAAATTCCCTTTGACTTTAATGGGAAAGTCAATGACTCCCTCTGGTGATCATTCTCAATAAATTGGACTCACCCCATTAAGAGGCTAATAAGGGATTTCTTCAACCATTCTAGTCCAAAAATAGATTCTTAAATTTATTTTTTGCAATATGTGCTCTGCCAAAATGAGCTATATTTCCTTCAGTCTTTTCCCCCAAAGCCTCTTTGAAATTATAGATAAAATAATTGTTTCTGCAAAATAAAGGAAATCCAACTGATTTTTGACATGAACCTTCTGCTCTGTTTGACATGAACCTTCTGTGGGTTTTTTTAGGTTTTTCTTTGATTTAGCGACTTTCTTCTTGCAGTTTGCTAGTTCCTTTGGCTTGTGTCAGATCAACAGCAACTTCTGAACTGATACCAGTCCAGCTTCCCAGCTAGAATGCTTCTCATAAAGAGAATGATCAAGAGGGATTATTTGAATTGCTTTGAGGATGTTCTTTGTCTTAACCCTTTCTTTGCTAGGCTGTTTGCATGCTGCTGTGTGAATCTGCATGTTTACTGGATGCTGTAGTATACAAATGTGCATAAAGACATCTTGGATGCTGTGATGTTTTGAAAGTGTTTCAAGTGTGTTCTTGATGATGAGATTAATGGGCGTTTTTATGTCCTTGAAGAGAGAAGCTAACGGTATCACAAATTTATTCATTGTATTGCTTTCATTAACTTGATTTAATTTCAAAAATGTTAGAATGAAACTATCTTATCCTCAGTTTAAAATCTAAAATCTGAAGAAATTTGATGAAATTGGATGTTTCCATCTTTACTATGGTCTGTGTTTTCACTGAACTGTTACAGGGAATCATCAAGCATGTTGATCTTTGCAACAATCAACCAGTGTTTCTTAAACAATAAGCACAGCAGCTTAAATCTGTTTTCCTTTGATGTGCTAGATGGGTTTAAACAGTTCTTTAAACCATAATCAGATCTTCTTGTAAGTAATACAACTCTTTGTTTCCTGGAGGAAGCACTGATTTAAATTTATTTAATGTGGGTGGTTTTGTCTCAAGGCCAGCATGTACCTCCATTCGCAGTTCCCTAGCAGACTGCTTGTGACCTAAGGGGAAAATCGTAATATAAACAATGAGTCGAACCAATTTAGATTCCCCAGTGGAATAGGTTTGGTCATCCAACTCTGAAAGTCTGTAATGTCTGGTTGTATAAATCATAACTGCCAAAACGGTAGTACAGATTGGTATTGAGATGGTTTGTTTCCCAAAAAAAAGGAGGAAAAAACTGTAGAAAGAAATGAGTAGTCTGAGTCATCATTGACTGTGGATGTTGAATTTTGAGCCTGCACACTGTAGGTTAGTATGATCAAAATAACGTGGTTTAAAATAGCTGAGGTTGTTCTTAAGATTGCCTAAACTTTTAAAATAGAACTGAAATCATGCCGGCAAAGCTTGAGTACTTKGGAACCAAATTTGGTAGGAGGAGGAGTCCCATTGAACGGACTGGGCTCTTCATTCACTTCTGAARTAGTTGTGGGGAAGAACTTTGGTGGTTAAAAGGAATCATAGCTAAGTTCATTAAAATACATCAGTTAAAATGTCATCTTTTTAGGATTTGCAGTTCTCCAGGCAGGAGAGGAGCTTTAGGTACTAGCTGCAAGCACATCCCAGACTGCCAGCCCTGAGACTGTGGCTGTTTGTTGTGCCAGCCAGTGACATATGGTGCTTTTAGCCACCCTGGTCCACGAGACCTCTTGCCGTGGTGTTCAGAGCTCTGCATCCTGCCCTGTCCCAGGAGTGAGGGCCAAAAACATCCTTCCCGTGGCAGGAAGCACCCCTGCCCACAGCACTCCTTGCAGAAGCAGAGCTGGGATGTCACACGCTGTCCCCATGGTGCTGAACCTCCAGAGCAGCCCGAGCCTGGAGAGATCTGTCATTKTGGGAGACAGTGGGAGCCTCTCTGGGGAAAGCTCCAGCCTGGGTCTGTCTCTGGGAGGACAAACAGCAGGTGGGTCAGAGAAAGTAGGATAAACTTTCTAGTAGGATAAACSTAGTCATGACCCATATGGGGGCACCCCAGTGGGCTGGGATGGAAGGAGAAGATCTTGTAAGATCTGAGAGAGCTGAAAAAATTATTCACAAGGGCCRACAGGAGAAGCTCTTTCCCAGAGTTGCTGAATTCAGACTTAATTTTGAATGCCTTTCTAGGTTCTTCAGTCACGTGGTCAGAGGGCTCCTGTTTTTTACTAAAATTTTTTTTTAGATTGTAARTTTTTTTCCTTAAACACAAAATAGCTTAAATGTAAGGTCATTGTAATKACTGCACAGTAAGTTTTAAGTAAATCTGTCCAACATTCTGTGATTGTTGGGATTCTGCCTTTTAACATTATTTTGTAAGATACAATAATTCTTTGCTGGGTTAGGATGATATGCAGGGGACAATCATTTAAATGGATTTAGTACAACAGATCCTTTGTCTGCAAAAGAGGAGAAATGTAATAACAACAAAAGACAGAACTAGCAAAGGCAAGTTTGTATTAAAATAGTGAAATCATTTTGCTTCTTTCTGAAATAATACCTTTAACTCAGCAATGTCTTTGAAATACTTCACAGATACTAATGCATTGGTATTTTTAGTGCACTGTGGGGCTGTGTGATTTAAAATAATATTTTCCATTTTTCACTAAGAAAATTGACGTACAGGGATGTTGCAGGTTGATGAAGATGACATAGAAAGTTTGAAGGAGACGAAAATAAAGAAATCATCTTTAGTTTTGTAACTTTAAACCACAGCATGACATTTTATTTACTTGTTTTGTGGGTTTTTTTCCTTCTCCTTCTCTGCTTTT